AGGCTTGACACCCCCCAGTTGCCCCGTCCCCCATGCCCAGCTGTAGCCCTTACTTCAAGTGACGCAGCATGTTGGCAGCAGAGAGCAGCATGGCAGTGGGGTTGGCGATGTTCCTGCCCACTGCCTGTGCAAATGGGTGGCGGGCACCCTGCAGAGAGACAGCCAGCAGTAGGTGCTGTGCCCAGCCCAGGGGCCACAGCTGCACTAAGCATGAGAGGGGGTCCAGGCGGCATGAATGCAGGATGCGACTCCTATGCCTTTGCAACCCAGGGCAGACCCAGCTCTGCTTGGAAACCTCCGGGGAATGAAACTGCCCCCGAGACCCAGATTCTGCCAGGCAACGGTGCCCTGCCCTCCACAGCCAAGAGCAGCCATTCTGCTTTTGTGGCAACCTCTCAAATATCTAAAGTCAGCTGCTTACAACAACCACCCCCAGGTCCAGTCAATTTTGCTCCACACTGGACATGCTTGGCCCAGCTGTCATTTCTCCCCCACTGCTGGCCACGCCCATTTCCCCACACCCTTAAAACAGGGAGGCCCATTCTCGCTAAGTTGAAGCCCTGTGAGAACCCTGGGTGCTTCTCGGCAATACTGCCACCTGCCCAGCTCCCTCCCTTCCTGTACTGGTGCATTTGGTCACAGGGGCAGTGGTAGGGAGGGGAGCCCAGGTGCAGCAGCCCTCACCATCTCGAACACAGCATACTCAGCGCTGTAGCTCTCGCCGGGCACCACGCCAGCACCGCCCACCAAGCCAGCCGCCAGGTTGTCAATTATGTTCCCGTACAGGTTGGGCATCACCAGGACATCGAACTGGTAGGGGTTCTGCACTAGCTGTAGGAGAGCAGACCAGCTCAGGCCCTGCACACATGGCATGCCCATACTTGTGGTCTCCCAGGGCAGAAAGCATCATCGCCACCCTCTTTGCCAAGTTCTCCGTGGGGAAGGGGAGCCAGGGCAGGCCTGGTGATGGAGCCCAGCGCTCCCAGACAGATTAGTGCCTGTGTGGGGAGCTCCGGGCTCAGGCAGCTCCATGGGCAGGGCCAGGCCAGGGCACCGACGCAACTGCTAGGCGAGTCCTGGCACGAAGGCAAAGGGCCGGCTTCTGCAGGAGCGCTACAGACCCTGTGACCAGGCACCCCTGGGCAGATCTGCCACCGAGATCCAGCAGCCTGGAGCCACCGCTCCTCTCCCACCCAACCCATGGGGGCTGCAAGCAGGGGCAGGGCTGGGAGAGACCCGCAAGCCAGGACTGCAGAAAGGCCCATTCACATGAGCACCTGTGGCTTGGCCCTGAGCACCCAGCGTTGCCCTGGACCCTAGTGTCTGCTTCCCTGTGTCCAGCTTCCATGTGGGGCTGCACAGGTTTTGCTGGGGGGAGGAGGCAGCTCTCACCTGCATGCAGCAGTTATCTATGATCATGGTGTCGAACTTGATCTTGGTGTAGAGCTTGGAAACCTCCTCACAGCACTGCAGGAAGAGCCCGTCCCCCAGCTTCCTGCAGGAGTGGGCACAGACGGGGCCAGCTCCCATAGCTGCACAAGCCAGAGCCCATGCCCTCAGAGAGAAGGGGACACCTCCACAGGGTACTGGGTACCATGGGTGAAACTGGCCCTCGGTACTAACCTGAGTGGGTCCAAGCACAGGAACTTTTGCCCTCCAGCAGGGAGAGCGAGTGGCACCGTGATAGGGTCCTAGTCAGGCCCCTCTGCAATCAGTGTGTGCAGGAAGGGGCACGTCTGTGGCTCTGTGTTGAGCCCCCTGTGCCCATTCCCTGACCCCGCCGCCCCACTCACATAATGTTGGCCTTATGCACAGCCGTGACCCTGGCGCGCCCCAGCTTGGTGGCGTAGTCGAAGGCGAATTTGGCGATGCGCTGTGACTTGGCCCGCGTGATGATCTTCAGACACTCGATGACACCCGTAGCGCTCTGGGCAGAAAGCGGCAGGGCTGCAGTGCATAGGACACCTGACAGCTGCCTGCCCCCACCAGGCGAGACCATCTTGGACTGCTGTCCAAGCTCTGCTTCCCCCTGGGGCCTCTCCTTGCCCAGCTGGGGCAGGCAGCAGCTCAGAGTAGCTGGGCAGCTCCCAGCCTATTCCCAGCAGAGGCAGCCACAAGTCTGGGGTTTCTCTTGTATTCAGCACTGGGGAAGAGTTGGGGCTCAGGGCTGTGCTGGGGCATACAGTGCTGGGATGTGGGGAGGAAAGTCTTCAGGGCTGGTGCAGCTGAGCAGGGTCTGGGGCCACTTAGCCACAAGCTTTATTTTGAGGTCTGGATGTTGGAGACGCATCATTGCCTGGGTGCTGGGGAAGGGGACCGTCAGTCCCATGCCCCTGCAGCCCCTGGTCTGACACCCACAGTGCACTTGGACAGTACAGAAGAGGCCTCAGTCCTCTCTGGCCAGCACAGACCCCATGGAGACGGAAGCCCTAGAATCACAAGGGCTCCAGAGGGAGCGTGGGCCTGGACCCAGCCCACTGCTGCGCTCAGACCCTGCCTGCCAGGCTGCCTCCAGGGGCTCAAGCCAAGGCTCCCACCTTCCTCCGTAGGACACGTTAGCCCAAGATCTCCTTGGCCTGGAGATCTCCCATCTCTCCTAGCAACAGCCTTGGGACTTGAGGTGTACAAACGCTTCTACCTGACTCACTCGGTTCAGTCAGGGACGCTGCTTCCTCTGCACCCTGCCAACCCCGCAGGGCTCTGAGCTCAAAAGGAGTCCGAGGGGTGATCCCCGTCCCCCACTCATGGGGCAGGCCTTGCCTTTCATCTCTGTGGCCCACCTATCTACCGTGACCCATAGGCTAGGGCCCAGCCCCGTGAGAACAAAGGTCATGTGTGTGACACACAAAGGGCAATGCCCCCCCACCCCTCTGTGTGGAGCTCGGGGCACGGGACAAGGCCTCCGACCTCTACTCACCTCGTGCTCCAGTGAGCTGTACTCGCCCTCCGTCTGTTCCCGGATGATCACCAGGTCCAGGTTGTTGTGTCGTGTTTTGTACCCAGGCAGGCTCTTCACGTGCACCACGTTCGCGAACAAATCCAGCTTGCGCCTGGCGGGCAAGTGGCAGGTCACTGGTTGGGGCTGGGCGCAGGGCCCCACCGTGGGCCGCCCCATCCCCTCCCCCAAGGCTCCCCCACCGGGGCAGGCACCTTGCCAGTCACAGCCACCAGACCCCAAGCTCCCCACCCCTCCAGCTGCCTCGAGGAGTGGAGACCTGGCATCACAGGCACGGAGGGGAAAGCTCGTTCCCCTATGGCCTGTGCCCAGTTCCCACCTGACCAGGCTCTGGCCTCCGCAGCACGCAGAGCTGCCACTGACCTGAGCCGCATGTCGTAGGACGCCAGGTCTCCCTTATACTCCATAGGCGTGTGGATCTTTCCTGCGGGGCAGAAGCGGCAGGTGAGCTCGGGCTGGAGACCGAGCGCCCAAGGAGCAGGGCCAGATACCGCCACAGCGAGCATCTTGCGGGACCTGGGTGGCCATACCTATGATGGCCACCTTGCTCTCCTTCATGGAGTCCACCACCTCGTCCAGTTTCTCCTCCGACGCCGTGTTCTGCACCTCGCTCAGGTGGTGCTCGTCAAACACCACAGGAACGCTGGCGGCCTGCATGGGGGGGGCGCGCGTCAGGGACCTTGGCGGGCCGCCCACTCCTCCCGCCCGCCCGTCCGTACCTTGAACACCTCCTTGACCGCGTGCATAAGCTCCGGGCCGACACCGTCCCCCGGCAGCATCGTCACCTGGAAGGCACCCTCGGCCCGCACGCTCTCCGCCTGCGGGACAGCCTCGGCCTCAGCCACTGCCCGGCGGAGGGGGTACTAGGGCGGGGGGCCCACCCCCTCCCGCCGCCTGCGCGGGCCGGATGTGACCCCTCCCCCAGCTCACCTTGTGCAGCGGCACGGCCGAGGAGCGGAGGCCGCAGAGCAGTGGGCGGCGCAGCGCGGCCTACAGTGACACGAGACCTCAGAGGAGCTCAGAGGAGCTCCAACCCCCACCCCGTC